TCTGTTTTAATATACATCAACTCCATACAACCGCTTCATGTTCACTCAGTGTACATTGCTGGCATATGTTTTAAAAAAAAATACCTCTGCAAAGGTTGAAATGAGCTTTAAGACCAGATCCACACAGTTGAATTTCAGCAACATGCAGCAGCGTACCTACGGTGAAGCGCATCACAATGTTTAACACACTATTGAGCTTTGTGGTGCACTGCGTTGCTACAATTAGTACATGCACCTTTTTGGAGCATTTTGGTGTCTTAGAAAGCCTACTAAAATGAATGAGCTGCCTTAATGCAACGCACAGTAGCACACAACATACACACATTAACACATGTGCTTGAACACGCTGCAAAGATAGGTATAGGTATGGGCTGTACACCCAGGAGGGAACCTCTTCAAGTGTGGTTTCCGGGGCTGGAGTGACCCACATTATGAATTCCATGGATACAGATGTACAATTGGGACAAGGACTGACAGAAACACTCTATTTCCTACCCAGGAATGTCTTGATAAATGTGGCCATCCTATAGTATATACTATGTTGGACATTTTGAGGCCTCTACTGACATCTTGTGTTTAGGCTGAGATTACATTTCAACTTCATTAAACAGAAATTTTTTACTACATTAAGCTAAAAATATTTTTAACATTTGTAACTGTTTTACCTGATTTGTCCCCATTCTTCTGCCTTGGATATATTGACATTATGGTATTACATATAATATACTGTACAATATATATGTAACATACATACTGTAATTAAGTGAGCATGAGAAATATTGAGCGCAGTCTAATGCTAGTTGTTTTTTTTTACATCAATAATAGTTATTTATACATGATACAAGTATCAATGGCATATATAAGGTATAAAAGCTGTATATTGTAATATATTATTTGCATCTTGTAAACAGTATATATCTAACCCAGCGTTTATTAACCCTTTTCCAGTTACAGCACCCTTTAACAGTATGCTAAATGCCTGCAAACCTTTCAAAAAAAAATAAAAAATTCAAGGGACCCCGAGGAAGCCAGAAGGTGCCCCGGGGTGCCACAGAACCCGGGTTGAGAAGGTCTGATCTAGCCCATCACATGCAGGGCTATTTTTCTGTTGGTATGCACCGGTACCGACACCTACCATCAGCCCTTTCATTTTGTAATTTTTTTTTTGCAATATTGAACCGCTCCAAAAAAATGTAAAAAGGCGCCCTCGCGGCAAGCATTATCACCCTCTTGATATGAGAGAAATGGCACCAGCACACCAAATTGCTTCAAGGATAATCAATCTTGGATTTATTAAAAACTCATGTCAAAAACACAAGCGCTTTTGGGGCCGCACAGGGTCCCTTCATCAGGCATAGCAATGGCATAGTTGCAAAAACAATGAGAGTATATATAGACAAACAAAACTGCAAAAAAACAAAAGACACTCCCCTTGGTGTCGCTATGATGTCACAAAGACAGCCAAACAGCTTTAAACATGTCATTAGGCATAAAAAAGACTTTCAATGGACATTTTACATGGGAAATGTTTGACCAATGTAACACAATGTAGTTGGTAGTGATAGGCCGAACACCCCTGTGTTCGGTTCGTATTCGAACGGCCGAAAAGTTTGAACTCGAACTCAACGGCCAGACAGCAGGTGGTTAAAAAGAAAAGAAAATTATTTTTTTTTCTTCACTTACAGTGTGCAGTTCCCCCTCCCAAACAATACCAGACCCTTTAGGCCTGGTAGGGTAGGGACCAATTTTTTTTTTTTTTTTAAAGTGTAGGGTTCCCCCTAAAAGTCATATCAGACCCTTAAGGTCTGGTAGGAATATTTAGGAGGGACCCCATGTAAAAAAAACAAAACAAATGTGTATGGGGTTCCTCCTTAAAGTCATACCAGGCCCTTAAGGTCTGGTAGGAACTGTAAGGAGGGACCCCAGCCCCAAAAATGGGGGGGGGAACGTGGGGTCCCCCCTAAAATTCCATACCAGACCTTTGATCCGAGCATAGGCTTGGCAGGGCCGGAAAGGGGCCCCTCCCTTCCACACCAGGCCAAATGCCCTCGGGACACTGGGAGGGTGCTTTTCCAGGGTCGTCCATGGAAATGCACCTTGTCCCCGTGCCGATGGAGATAAGGGCCTCTTCCCCACATCCCTGACCCAGTGTTTGTGGGGGTCTGCGGGCAAGGGGGCTTATTTGCATTGGGGTACCCCTTTAACAAAGGGGGCACCCACACTGTATATAGAATGCTGTATATAGAACGCTGTATATAGGACACTGTATATAGAACGCTGTATATAGTACGCTGTATATAGGACGCTGTATACAGAACGCTGTATATAGGACACTGTACATAGAACGCTGTATATAGCACGCTGTATATAGAACGCTGTATATAGGACGCTGTATATATAATGCTGTATATAGATTTCTGTATATAGATTGCTGTATATAGGACGCTGTATACAGAACGCTGTATATAGCACACTGTATATAGCACACTGTATATAGGACGCTGTATACAGAATGCTGTATATAGCACGCTGTATATAGCACGCTGTATATAGCACGCTGTATATAGCACACTGTATATAGAACGCTGTATATAGGACGCTGTATATAGGACCCTGTATACAGAACGCTGTATATAGGACGCTGTATACAGAACGCTGTATACAGAACGCTGTATATAGAACGCTGTATATAGGATGCCGTATATAGAACACTGTATATAGGACACTGTATATAGGACGCAGTATATAGGACGCTGTATATATGACGCTGTATATATGACACTGTATATAGGGCGCTGTATATTGGACGCTGTATATAGGACGCTGTATATAGGACACTGTATATAGGACACTGTATATTGAATGATGTATATTGAATGCTGTATATAGGATGCTGTATATAGGACGCTGTATATAGAACGCTGTATATAGGACGCCCTATATATAGAATACCGTATATAGGATGGCGTATACCGTGTTTCCCCGAAAATAAGACACTGTCTTATATTTTTTTGGGCTCAAAAAAACACACTAGGTCTTATTTTCGGGGTAGTTCTTTTTTTTTATGTACAATCCACGCTTATTCATGTACAACAGTCTACATGTATTCATGTACAAAAATATGGTGATCAGGGCAATCAGGGGTGCCGTACCTTTCCATGAGCAATTTGCTATCCAATCGCTGGCCAGAATGAGCGAAGCGCACTTATACTATGGATTCCTCACAGGCGGAGTGCATTTGGTATCACTCCGCCTGTGACAGGAGTCGGCACTATAGAGGTGCCGCCTCGCTTCCTCTAGGGCTGGCTTCGTTGGCACCGCTGATTCTCTCCCACGGCTCTTCAGGTTCTCCCTTATGCCACCACCGGCCCTGGGAATGGTCACAACTAGGTCTTATTTTCGGGGTAGGTCTTATATTTTAGCAATTCACAAAAATAGTACTAGGTCTTATTTTCGGGGTAGGTCTTATTTTCGGGGAAACAGGGTATATAGAATACCGTATATAGGACGCTGTATATAGGCCGCTGTATATAGGACGCTGTATATAGAACGCTGTATATAGGACACTGTATATAGAACGCTGTATATAGGACACTGTATATAGGACGCTGTATACAGAACGCTGTATATAGAACGCTGTATATAAGACGCTGTATATAGGATGCCGTATATAGAACACTGTATATAGGACACTGTATATAGGACGCAGTATATAGGACGCTGTATATATGACGCTGTATATATGACGCTGTATATAGGACGCTGTATATAGGACGCTGTATATAGGACACTGTATATTGAATGCTGTATATTGAACGCTGTATATAGGACGCTGTATATAGGACGCTGTATATAGGACGCTGTATATAGAACGCTGTATATAGAACGCTGTATATAGGACGCCCTATATATAGAATACCGTATATAGGACACCGTATATATAGAATACCGTATATAGGACGCTGTATATAGGACGCTGTATATAGGACGCTGAATATAGAACTCTCTTTTTTAACTCCAGCAACACACTACGTAGGGCTACGGTGTAAGCACGCAGCCTTCTATAGTGTGCTGCTGGGACTTAGCTATGAGCCATGATTTGGCAAAGTAAGTCATCATGACTTTGCTCAATCATGACTCTAACTGAGTACTGAGCCCTAATTGGGCAAAGTCTTGCACCTGACCTGTGGTAGGACGAAAATTGAGCAGATTAGTGCCCTTGTGTATCTTTGGTAATCCGAACAGGACAGGAGTGCGTGAGTGATCATTATAGAGGAATTCAGCTGTAGCATCATCAAGCCATGCATTTGTCTTACCTACGCCAATAATCACACGTAGTTCTGTGCGAATACTACGCATGTTCTCATGTGTTGCTGTGTCATAGCTGGAAATATCAGCTAACATGGTCAGTATACCTTATTTTTTAATGCAGTTAATGCGTCTTTGTCCACTTTAGTCATATTTGAATGCATCTTGCCATACTTATTAGCTTCCATCACATCATGTTTGTTCATTCGAACATAGGTTTCAATTGATGGAAACATGCATGGCGGAATAAAGCTGCTCTTAAGTTTAAAAGGGGAGCATTTGTGTGGGTTGGACGGTTGGGTAGAGAAATATTGTTTGATCTGAAGTAGTCTTTAGAATTTGAACATTTCAATTTCAAAACGGAAAGGGTTCAAAGTGATTGGGGGGGCAGAAAGATAGGCCCCTTGACAGAAATCAGCACTCCTCATCTGTCACAGGTCTAGAGGACAAATCGATTACCGAGCTCTCCGTTGGAGTGGACCTCCCTTGTTGTCCATGGATCTGGTTTCTCTGATTCTTGGGCTTGTATCCCCTCCTGGATCGCCTGCGTCTTTGACCTGATATAAAGGGAACCTCTTGTTTTTACGTGGTGAGGTTGCTCCTTCTGCTGATGCTTGTCTGTCGCCATGTCCGTACATTTGCCATACAGGTAATGCGTAAGTGTTTGTGCGGCAAGTGTATGGACACGGCGCATGAAGACAAGCGTCATTACCCCCGTGCAGGGTGATGATGCTTGTCTTTTGGAGCAGTTTACCACCAAACAGATGGCCACTGACAATAAACCTCATTGCCGGCAGGTATCTTGCACATGCTTAGTCACTGCAACTAAGGGGCCAAGCCCAACCCCTGAGAAACAACCCCACACCATAATACCCCCTCCATCAAACTTTACACTTGGCACAATGCAGTCAGGCAAGTGACGTTCTCCTGGTAACCGCCAAACCCAGACACGTCCATCGGATTGCCAGACGGAGAAGTGTGATTTGTCACTGCAGAGAACACTTCTACTTCTCTAGAGTCCAGTGGCAGCGTGCTTTATACCACTGTATCCAACACTTTGCATTACACATGGTGATGTAAGGCTTGGGTGCAGCTGGTAGGCCATGGAAACCCATTCCATGAAGCTCTCTTTGCAGTGTTGTTGTGCCAATCTGAAGGCCACACAAAGTTTGAAGGTCTGCAGCTATTGACTTCTGCGCACTATGCACTTCAGCATGCGCTGACCCCGCTCTGTCATTTTACGTAGCCTACCACTTCGTGGCTGAGTTGCTTTTGTTCCCTGTTGCCTCCACTTTGTTATAATACCACTAACAGTTGACCGTGGAATATTTAGTAGCAAGGAAATTTCATGGATGGACTTATTGCACAGGTGGTAACCTATCACGGTACCACGCTTGAATTCACTCAGCACCTGAGAGCGACCCATTCTTTCACAAATGTTTGTAGAAGCAGTCTGCATGCCTAGGTGCATGATTGTATCCACCTGTGGCCATGGAGGTGATTGGAACACCTGAATCCAATGATTTGGAGGGATGCCCAATACTTCTGGCAGGATGTGCCCTGAGCTGCTGTACCTGCATAGGTTCTCATGAACGTGCAGCAGCAAGCTGCTGTCACACAATGGGGTAGGAGGATAATAACAATATTGTTGGGATCGCTTCTTAGCACAGAGCTTAGCCCTACCCACAGTATATTACATTTAATTTTAAGCTAATGGTGCATTTTTGATTACAGGAGTACATTGCAAAATGTACTCCTGTATCATGAGGAAACTAAATATGCAAAAAAAGTATACCCCATAGCTCTCTTTTAAACAATTTGCCACTGTGCATTGACAGACTTGGTATCCATTATAATAGTGGATGTGGTTACTAACTGGGTCCCATTCAAGAAGTTTTATCAGGTGATTCCTATGCTGGTATTTGTTGCAGTTTTAATGGTGACACAGACTCCTAAAATGTTCTCACTGTGTAAAAGTATAAAACAACACTTAATTAATAAGAGATACAATTATTTGTTGTTATAGAACAAAAAAAGAGACAGACATCAAAACAGCACTAGAGCCCCTAGATACGGCACTGATGAGTATAGGAAATTCCTAAGCTCGTCAGCGCAAATCAATGGGCGCCAGTACCGTGTGAATAGCATCACCTGGCGGAGATTTTACAAATGAACCCCCAGGTTAGTTGTAGGTGTTATATTTTGTGACATGTCAGTAAATTATCCATGCAGAATTGTAAAGCTTCTTAAAGTGTTCTGGAAAAATATTTGTGTACAAACACTTTTGGCATAAATTGTGCTGACATAGTTTCGATAATGCATCAGTCAACAAAATAGCCACAGATGTTATGTTGATTCAAGATGTTATGCTGATTACACAAAACAGACTTAGATGGCAATGTTTTGACCAGAAAAGGAGGTCAAAAAGCATTGAAGAGGAGGTACTTTTTCAACTTCAGTACACACCATGCTGTAACACTTCTGCTCTGGTGATAGATGTATCCTGTTAGTGAAGCAGAAGATTTCAGTAAGAGCAGATGCAGGCAGCTGGGCTGGAGCAAAGTTCATAATGTCTTCACAAGTTTTATATACTGCTGTGATTCTCTTCACTCTTTTGAGCATCTCTAATGCAGCCTGCAATCGAGGTAACTATTAATATGGTCTATTATTAATGTGGGTGAAGTTTAAAGGATAAGCAACTGGAAAACGATTTATTGGGTTTTGGGTGGATTGTGAAACAAAAGGGAGAGTATCTGTATGTTGAAAGAAATTCTTATGCAACCTGGTCTCAGATTTTGTTGATTATATCCATTCCCTATCTTCGAGGGACTGGCTGTAGATTCTTTTCTTGTGTAATAGGAGAACCAGTGAACCGCTTTGTGTGAGCCACGCAGAACAGACATTCTTCTACAATTTCACGTTTTCTTAACTTACTCAGTAATACAGTGTATAGAGCAAAGATGTGCAAAGGGCAGCAACCCATAGCAATCAGCAACCTTCACTGATATGACTATAACATTAAAAATTGCCAGAATAGATTTTACGGATTTGGCTCCCATTCATTTAATTGAGGTTTAGATTAATGTTCAAACTTTGAAACAGTTCAGCAAATAGAATATTTGTGTATCATTGGTTGCTGTGAGTAAAGAGACCATTTTACAATGTGTACATCTTCTGCACTATTATGTGATAATCTTCTCTTGTGTGTAAAGGTAATAAGGATAGATACTGGTTTCACCAGCAATTTTTGATGCAATAGTTTATTAATTTCAATGATTATAGAAGTAAGTTAAGATAACCTACCAATTCTGATTACTACTTCATAGGCAGCAGTGAGGAGACCACAGTACCTGCACTACATTAGGGACGTTTTGTAGGTTTCTAAAAGAACTGGGGAAAGCCCAGAGCACATAGATTAAAATGTTAAAGGGTTTGTGGTATACCATGGTAAAAAGTGGGTGAAGTTGATTCTTACTTCTTTGACTGAACATAAAAATCAAATGTATGATGTTGCTTAAAAAAGAAGAACTAATAATATATTCCAAAAGCGCAATGTGTATATCATATATATCATTGCTAATCAATGGTCTAATATTGTTAATGAAAACAAAATATGCATTGTGAGGCCCAGGTAAACGTAGATGCCAAGCATTCATTAAAAATGCCAGTTTCTATAATTATCTATCCAACATTATTCTAAAGAATTGTGAGGGGAATATGCAGTTACTAGTGGCAGTAAAAATGGAAGATAAAAATTAGAGGATCATACTTGGGATGGCAAAGGACACCTGGAGCTCTAAGTAGAAGACCTGGGGCACATGCCCTGGGTGCCAGGGTCTAGCAACGCCTCTGCATTACATAGTGGCTGCGTAGGTTGAGTAGTCAGAGTTCATATGCAGCTTCTAAGAAACTCTAATTTGGAACTGCTGAATGGGTCAGTCTGGTTTACAATCATGCTCCTTTACACTAATGTTACCCCCACCAGGTCCAACTTCAGATGACTATTTTCTCCCTGGCACATTCTTTTTTTTAATTCAGTGTGATTTTATTAGGGTTTCCATTCTAAAGGACGAGAAATATTTAACAGGTAGACAACGGTTACATCTTAGCCTGTTTAAGGTTGAAAACACATATCTTCAATGCTTTCTACAACAGCATTGTCATGAAACCCTCCAGCCTTTTCATGCAGGGGATGCACCAATACCGTTTTTAACAGTTTTGAGTACGAGTACCAATATTCTTTTATTTGGCACTCGCCAATACCGAAATACGATAACGGCATCTGTGAGCCCGGATTATCAGGAAGCCAGGCGGCAGGTCATGGCCCGCTGCCTGGCTTCCTTATTGCCTGTGAAGCCAGTGTTTTATCAAAAGAACACCGGCTTCACTTCCCTCGCAACACTGCAAGGCAGCCTGGCTTCCTGACCAATCAGAAGGCTGAGCAGCGGGTCATGACGTGCTGCCGAGGTTCCTGATTGGCTAGGAAGCCGGCTTCAATTATTGTTGACAAATCAGGAAGCCGGGTGACACCTCAAGAACTGCCTCCCGGCTTCCTGATATGCCTGGAAGCCAGGCTGCCTAGCAACAAGTAAAGCCGGCTTCCTAGTCAATCAGGAAGTCGGGTAGCATGTCATGACCCGCCTCCCGGCTTCCTGATTAGCCAGGAAGCCGGCTTAATGAAAAAAGGCAGCCTGGCTTCCTGACCAATGAGGAAGCCGGGCGGCGGTTTATGATTGGTCAGGAAGCCAGGCTGCCTAGCACCAAAGTGAAGCCGGCTTCCTAGCCAATCAGGAAGCAGGGTGGCGGGTCACAACATGCCTCTCGTATCTGATTGGCTAGGAAGCCGGCTTCACTTATTGCTAGGCAGCCTGGTTTCCTGACCAATCAGGAAGTCAGGCTGCCTAGCATTAAGTGAAGCCAGCTTCCTAGCCAATCACGAAGCCGGGAGGCGGGTCATGACCTGTCTCCCGGCCTCCTGATTGCCCGGGAAGTTGGATCCATGCTCCCTCGCAGCGCTGCCGGCCAGAGGGAGATCTCCCTCTGACCGGAAGTTCCAGTATCGGTATTTCATGCCATACATATATAAGAAAACTACAATCAGTAGTACATACATAGTACATTGGAGGGGGACACAGATCTCCCTCTAACCGGAAGTTCCGGTATCAGGGGTAGGTATCAAAGTATTTGGGTGAGTACGAGTACTACTATCAGTATGGGTGCATCCCTATTTCATGCCATATATACATAACAAAACTACATTTAATAGTACATAGTACATTGGAGGGGGACACAGAACTATATCACAAGACATAAAAAAGGGGAAATAAAGGGGAAATGAAGAAGGGATAGGGAAAGGGCTTGGCATTGGGACCCGTGACCAGCTGACACACTGAAACAGCTAGACCACCAGTGTGAACTAAGTGTATGAGATGACCATGGTTACAGCTAGTTACTTAGAGATGCAATATTAGAGTTATATACAGGTGAAACTCGAATAATTAGAATATCGTGCAAAGTTCATTTATTTCACTAATGCAACTTAAAAGGTGAAACTAATATATGAGAGAGACTCATTACATGCAAAGCAAGATAATTCAAGCCGTGATTTGTCATAATTGTGATGATTATGGCTTACAGCTCATGAAAACCCCAAGAACCCCAAATCCACGATCTCAAAAAAGTAGATTATTGCATGCAATCAATAAAACAAGGATTGTACATAGAACAATATCGGACCTCTGAAAAGTATAAGCATGCATATGTAATATGCATTACTTTTGCACGATATTCTAATTATTCAAGTTTCACCTGTATTTTGTAGTGGATTTGAAATGGATCCAACAAATCCTGATGTAGGTTTGGTAATCCGTCCTTTGAACTAGCCCATGTGACAGAGTGACAACATAGGAGCACATTTGGGAGACAGGGACAGAGCCTGTTCACTAGGCGTTATTTTAATAGAAATTGAAGATTTACAAAATATTGCAAATTCATTTTGAAATTACATTAACATGTTAAAGCTTGTATGAGAATTTATTGATTGGGTTAACGTATGCTTTAATATCTTTGAAGTTACAGGCTTCTGGGCTTTATAATTTTGTAATTGTGTATATTTAATTACCATGTGTGTCTAGTTATTTCGTAGTACAAGCACTTTAAATGCATTTGGCATCTCATGATAGCATCACACCGTGTTGACTTTTTGTTTACAGATCCAGGTCTGGTACCAGCATGGGCTAAATGGGATCCCCTATAGTGCTATCGTTAGTAAGAGGGGGATCATTGTTGTATTAATCATGATCTTGAGCCTAATTTAGTATAATGTTAATTATTTTAGGATAAACTGTTTTGTTTCTGGTTCGGTTGCTTATATAAATATTTGCTGGTTGACCATTCCGTTATGAAAGATACATTTTTTCTAGTTTACTCCATACCAAGGTTTGCTGTAGAGCAGCGCTTCACTAGCAATCCTGATTTGCTCAGGAAAGGAAACTGGCAAAGTAGTCCAAGGAAGGTGCCATTATGCAAAAAACGATTATTATTAAACACCAAAAGCGCTTTACAAATACAATTAAAATTTGAATACAGCGAAGGAGAACTATGAGGTGAGTGGCAACAAACTGTTTGAGATTAACTCCATTACAAAGACTAGAGGCCACCACCTAAAGTTGGTGGAGAAAAAATTCCAGCACAATGGGCGAAGAGGGTTCTTTACAGTAAGAGCGGTTAAGGTCTGGAACTCACTGCCATCGGCAGTGATTTCAGCCAAGAGTGTACATTTGTTCAAGAAACGTTTGGACAATTTCTTAAGGGACCGTAATATCCAGGGATACCAGTATCCTTAAGAATGAGATGATGCGTGGACCTATATGGGTTGGACTTGATGGACGTATGTCTTTATTCAACCCCAAATACTATGTAACTATGTAACTATGTAAATATGTAAAATTACACTCATCCTCATAGTTAGAGCCGACGTGTGACATTAAAACTGTCACACGTCGGCTCTATAGATCGGGAAGTGAGCGAAAACATATCGTTGCTCGCTCACTTCCTGATCATCTCCCTTCAGAGAGCAGTGACTGTCAGGCAGTGATCCCCCCTCCCCTCTCCAAACCTCCAACACTGACTGGAGGAACAGACGGGGGGCGGGCACAGCTGGCTTTGCCTCTAGATAGGCAGAGCCTGCTGTCAATCAGCCAGCTGGGTGGATCTCGACAGTATTGTCGGGATCCGTCCCGGCTGCGGCATCTCAGTATAAAGCTCGCTATATACTGAGCTTTGGGTGGCAGGAGGACGTAAGTATATAGACATGTGCGATTCGTTTCGTTCCGAAACAAAATTCAGACGAAGTTTCAGAAATTCTGAGATTCGGATGTACCTGAATTCCGAATTACAGTTAATAACGAATGCAAACAAATCCGAATTTACGATTCTGAAATTTGTTAGCGGTAGTCTGTACGAAATTTCCTTTGTTGGACGAAATTTCGTTGTAGCAAAATGACATTTGAGAATTTTGTTTTTTCTCAAATGGCACTTTGCTGCAACAAACGAATCCCTATACGAAATGAAAGTTCGTACAGACTACCGATAACTAATTTCGTCCGAATCCTGAAACAAATTTATTTTCGGACCTTTATATTCTCCTGTGACCCTAAAGAGAACTATGGGATAACAAGGTTACCACATAGTTCTCTTTTAAAGCACAGTGGAGAAATTGCAGAAATAAAGAAATATATACAAAAAACACTGTACATCCTGTTTATGCAAGTTTTGAGAAATAAAGACATTTCCTCATGTTTAGAATAAAGTTTTTTGCAAGCATAAGTTTGAGGATGTAATACAATAATAAAACAAAAGACAGTCTCTCTCTCTCTCTCTCCAAGCAAAATCTCTCCCGTTTAAACCCCAGCCGTATGTACATTCCACCTATTTTCATAAATACAATTTCTATGTATCCAGGATATGATGAAGCAAGGCACATTGCAAACCACTTTTTGTTAAGCAAACGTCCTCAGCCTTTTAGAATCGTGTTCTTCCTTTATATGGTATGTGAATCTGTAGTTTATATCTTATCGTGCCTGGAATTCTTCAGAGTCTTCAGGTGAAAACTGTGTCAGCAGCACGCCTCTGACACCCAGGGAGTTGGAGCTTTCCATAGAACACAGGCAGTTCTACGGTCGGCAGCAGTTCTGTGTGATGAGTGGGCGGGGATAACCTGATTCCCACTCATTGGCTGCTGCGCCGGCTCCATCATTCTTCATGCTGCACCCGGAACAATGTGCAGGGCCCAAGACAGGAGGAAGAGGTCCCGGTATTGATATTAGCGGTTACCGGGATATTAAATATCCTGGTAATCAGCGGTTACTACGGGCCCGTCCTCCTGTCCTGGGACCCCTCTAAGGCCCCATTCACACGTAGCGACATACCTTTTGCAGCGGATCGGCGCGGCCGGGATAGCGCGACTTTCGGGGCGACGTTCCAGCGACGATCCAGCGACGGTAGAGCGACCTTCTCCGTCGGGCTCCATTAGAAAAAAGCAAAATCGCGCAAAATCCGCCGAAAAAAGGGTCATGTAGAAGCGACTTGCGATGCATGACATGGAGCTAAGACAGCTCCATTGAATAGCATTAGCCGGCGACTTCTCGCGATATTGCGCGGCAAAAATGCGCGATATCACGGCGGAAATCGCTACGTGTAAATGGGGCCTAAGTGGCGAAACTCCAGTGCCCGGTCGCACCTGCAACCTCTGCGACTCTGGGTGGAGGGATAGTTGCCATATTACAGTTCAAATATCTGGAGCATGTGATTTCATTTGCAGACTTTGTTCACAGTGGGGGGATTTATCAAAACTGGAGCAGACAAAAACTGGAGGAGTTGCCTATCGCAACCAATCAGCTTCTCGCTTCAGTTTGTTCAGTTAAGCTTTGAAAATGAAAGAGAGATGCTGATTGGTTGTTGTGCACAGCTGCTCCAGATTTTGTCTGCTCCAGTTTTGATAAATTCCTGTCACTGTATGTATGTATGAAGAGTGGTCATTGACATTTTTTTATGCAGCTTTTTGGTCTGTGAGCTGACTGCTGTCTTGGCACCATGAAAACAGTGGTCAGCCATGGGCCGGATGATACAGTGTTCAGCCAGCTGCATCACAACACTACCCCTTAACAAGGAGTGTAAAGTAACCTGCGCTCTAAGGCTCACCATACACATTAAAATATGACTGTGCAATCTCTGTACAATCAACTTTAGACTGAGCTACCAAAACAAGGTGATGTGATGACCTACCTAAACTATCACCTACCAAAACGATATAATATGAGTTAGGTGGGAATTTCTCCCAGCACTTTTACTTTGATTGCTAGGGCTCATTTACACAGGCGTGCACTTCTGTACGAAACCTGCTCCTGGAAGGGACATGTGCAGCGAGTAATTGTGTGCAACCATCTGTAACTCCCGATGGAGGTCCTGCTGACAATGTTTTACCAGACAGGAAGTGAGGGGAACACTGTAAGGGGCCCTGGCGGCCGGGGGGGTGGGCTCCAAGCTATAATTTTTCTGATAGAATTATATGAATAATTACATTTGCATGGTCCCGGGCCCCCCCCCCCCCGCGCTATTGGTATCTTCCGCTGAAGTGCTTACAGGGACGGAGCCTAATTTCACGGACGGAAGCGCCAGAGATCGAGGATGAAGAAGAGTATGTCGGCTGCTGCCTGCCTGGCACTGCAGCACTTCAGACAGAGGCCCCAGGGATGGTGGGGGTTGTGAGAGACTGGGGGGGAGAGAGACAGATCGATCGACGCTGGCAGCTTCTTAGCGTCGGTCGGTCTCTCTCATGCTTGCCTCCCTCCTCTCAGCATGGTCGGTCTGTGTCTCACTCTTTCCCCCCTCCTCCTCCCCTCAGAAAAGGGGGGGAGAGTGAGAGAGACTGACGGACACTGTAGAATAAGAAAATGCTAGTTGCAATTTTTTATGTTGCACGGTTTTTGCGCAAATGTTGATCAAACCAGTATCTTTAGGAAACAATAAACTAAATAAAAATGTAGTGCACAGAAACATAATATAATCAATTTTTTGGTAAAATATAAAAGACAGGGTCACACCGTGTATGAAAACATGTCAAGCCTTAAAAATGCGTTCGCCCGTGAAGCCGCAAAAATTAAATACCCCAAATTTCCTATAGGGAACATTTTAAACACGTTTAATGCTCATCAGTTTAGTGCTAACAGTGATTGATGGCCCTAGAATTATTGCTCTCACTCTGACATTCGCGGCGATATGTAACATGTGTAGCGCAATTGTCGTTTTCGCACGTAGGAGCCCCGACGCGTGTTTGCGTGCGTATGTGCGTGCACATGGGGGGCGGGGGACTTAATTTTTTTTTTTTGCATTTTTTTAATTTTTCTTATATGTCACTTTAATTTTTAAACACTTTTTTTTTTTTACATAGGCTAACAAGCACCCTATTTAATAGCAGATAGGGTGTGACAGGTCCTCTTTATGGAGACATCAGGGGTCTTTAAGACCCCTAATGTCACCTAGGGGCTGCCCTGCCAGTCAGATAGTTATTTCTGTCAATGTCTCTGTTGCTGGTTTTCTCTAACTTCCTGTCTGGTGAAACCGTGCTCAGCAGGACAGGAAGTTAGGGGAAATATGTCCAACAGAGCCCCAGATAGCAGTTAAAGCCTGACAGGTGTTCTATTTCTTTACCAGTCTATCCAAAAACTAATAAAGGTTTTGTTCTTGACTTTTATCCCTTCTCCGTTCACTAATGATTTTAGGACCTTTGTCCACAGTTGATACATTTCTGCTGCCTGGTAAAAAAATGGACTGAAGACTATATTACATAATTCTGTAGTTGACGGATGGATTTACAGAAATGTCAGAGAATTAGTGTATGTTACTGATCAGTGGCTAACAATCACCATAGCGACCCAGGCACCCCTTTCCTCTCCCACAGCCTGTGCCTGCTACTGTGCCACCCCTTTCCTCTCCCACCACCTCTGTGTCCACTGCCCACCAGCTCTCCCCCCAGGGTACAACACACTCACCTGGCCTCTCCTTCTGGGATGTTTCCGCCGGGCGGTCTGTACTCACACAAATTAGGCAGCTGCAAAGCCCCAGCGTGGGCTAAGACGGCTGCCTAATTGACCTGAATACAGTGCAACCTCTGCTTTGGGTCCCGATTGCTCGGTGCGGCCGGCCCAACCGAACAATCCAACCCCCCGCCGCCATGGTACTGTGTGGTTAACAGGAAGGCTGCCGAGGTCCCCAGCATGCGGGAGACCTCAGGCAGCCACTTCAGTATAAAAATTGAGTGCCTGTGTTCTGTCGAGAACGCCAACCCAGTATCTGCATTTGCGCACAGACGGGCTTGTAGTCCTGCATAGTTGGAGCTATTCTGCATTGGTGTATAATGATTGTCCAGCAATGCAGAATACCACCAGCTATGCGGGACTACAAGTCCCAGCAATAAATTGTAAAAAAACAAATCAGCAATACAGAATACCACCAGCATCCCCCCCGCGTGCCTCCCCCTTCCCGCTCCAGATTTACCTGACTCTCAGGCAGGACCCTCTTCCGTGTCTCGGTGTCCAGGGGGCGGGACTAGGTAGAGAAGGTCCTCACACAGCAGAATGTGCTGCCTGGCGATGCCTGCAGCACATTCTGCTGTGTGAGGACCTTCTCTACCTAGTCCCGCCCCCTGGACACCGAGACACGGAAGAGGGTCCTGCCTGAGAGTCAGGTAAATCTGGAGCGGGAAGGGGGAGGCACGCGGGGGGGATGCTGGTGGTATTCTGTATTGCTGATTTGTTTTTTTACAATTTATTGCTGGGACTTGTAGTCCCGCATAGCTGGTGGTATTCTGCTTTGCTGTATCATCATTATACAGTTATGCAGAATACCACCAGCTATACATTTTACATAAAGTCAGCATACCACCAGCCACAGTCTCCCAATCCCCCCGGACCAGCCATCACCAATAGACCCCCCTGACTCACCTAGCTCCTGCAGAACCTCTTTCCTTACAATGTCCTTAAGTTACAATGACCCACACAGCATTTTCTTTTATTCTATTGATATTTTTTGATGTATTATAATTTGTTATGCTTTTATCCTCTACATATTGAATCCAATGTATGTATTGGTGTTTGTGTCTGTTGTTTCTGACCTTTAGTATCCTGGTTTGTTATAAATAAATATTTTTTTTTTTTAAAGTGACCTGCACATGTATACAACCTTGTGTTTAGTTATCCTTTAAGCATTGCAATGCAAAATGGACCCAGAGCCCGACAGTGGAACTAGAGAGAGGAGGGGACCTGGTGGCATACCTGGTCCTGCCAGGTCAATATCCCCTCCTCTCTTTGCCAGTGTCCATCACCAATGTGTGATGACGTTACACCACAGATGTCATAACACATGTGCCGCGGCTGCACCGGGTGACACCCACCCTGGTGCCGCCACTGTGCACTGAATCACAGTTTGATGATTTAGTGGCAAGCAGATGATTTAGGTTTAATGGCAAGCAGATGATTTAGGTTTAATGGCAAGCAGATGATTTTACATCATGACGTGATCTGGTGCTCTCAACCATTGCCAGCAAAAGCGCTTGACAGCCTATGCCCCATACTTGTATTACCATGTTACATGTACCTGAAGTGTACCTTTAAGAAAATACATTAATATTAACTGGTTTTGTTCTGTTTATTTCTACAGCTCAACCAAAAGGAAGAGTTTTACTGCTGGACAATTGTAACTCTTCTGTTTTAGATGCCAACATTAAGTACCATCTAACATCATCTGTCACCGTCCTGGTTGTACCAACGTTCTATGCAATCGTATTCCTCTTGGGTCTTCCAGCTAATGGAATTGCTTTCTGGGTACTTCTTTTTAAATCCAAAAAGATGCCATCCACCCTTCTGCTAATTAATCTGGCAGCCGCAGACTTGTTTTTTTTGTTGGCATTGCCTTTTAAGATTGTCTATCACTTCCTGGGAAACAACTGGATTTTTGGGGAAACTATGTGTCAATTAGTCACTGCGGTGTTCTATGGAAATATGTACTGCTCTGTGTTCTTTCTCATGGCCATCAGCATTGATCGATACTTTGCTTTGGTCCATCCTTTTCTGGCCAGGAGCCTACGCGGTTGGAGAAGTTTTGCATCTGTTGCTACTGGAATCTGGTTGGTTGTTATAGCCGGTGTCTCAATATTCTTCCTAGTTCCCCAAATAAAAACATTTACCGATCCAAATATGACAACCTGCCATGACGTATGGGCAGTTTGCTATGGTTATGAGTGGTACACCACATATTTCCTTGTTCTTTTCATTGTGGGATATGCCATCCCTTTGATTATTATTTTCATATGTTATGTGTCAATTTGGTTCACCTTGTCAAGGAATAGGGGATCTCACAGTCAGGTGATGAGATTGATCATTTTGGTGGTTTTCATGTTCATCATCTGCTTCACCCCCAGTAATATTTTGCTTATCTTTCATTACTTGGAAACACAGTGGGATTGTCACAACCAACTGTACATCTGGTACATGGTGGCATTCTGTTTGACATCATTCAACAGTTGCATCGATCCATTCATATACTATTACATGTCAGAGGACTGCCGGCAAATGGTAAAAGATACGCTTGGCTGGAGCAGTAGTGGAGACAAGGAGTCAGTAGATTGCACGAAGAGAACTAAACTGACTTCAGAGATGGGCAGAATAAGTACTTAATATGTTCCTATTACCTGGGCCATGTTTATCCTTCCTTCATCTCATCATACTGACCACATATACAAAATATGTATTAACTTTTTGCAAAATTATGTATTATATTTTTCTTGGACAATTATGTATTATATTTTTCTTCTTGGACAAATGTTATTTTTCCTTCACGGACATGTGATAAATCGTATGGTATGTTACTGACAATAAAAAAAAACTGCAATAAATGTAAATGGCTGCTTATGTTTCATAAGCAATAGACTGTATGTTTGCAGGAAATATTAAGATTATCAGGGTTATTCACATATAGGAGAAGAGTTTGGAGAAGGCAGGAGAAGTGACCAATTTAGGACAAAATAGCTGATTGGGAAAAATTCTCCAATTCAGCTCACTTTCCAGTTCAGTTAAGTTGTCCTAGATTGTTCACTTCTCCTGCCTTCCCCATACTCTTCACCGTTTTGTGAAGAACCCTGTACAGTATATATGTGTTTGTTGTAGTCTGTGGGGTGTTTGAAGCTTTTCAAATAAGTCTCTGTAAAGAGGATAGTGGTCAAACTGGGGTGTAGTAACCAAAGCAATAAAAGAGTCTGTAGTTAAATGTAGGGGTTATGAGTTGTGCACAGCTTCCAGCTGTCCATTGTTTGGAGGGACTGTCCCTCTTTTGGAACCAAACACCCTTTGTCCTTTTTTGCTCCTCAGTTGTCCCTCACTTTGCTTCTAATTAAAAAAAAATCAGCATTTAACTGCCAATGGTTACGCTACACTAGCATTTCTCAACCCTTTTTCGATCATGGCACATGTTAAAAGTATGCAAAATCTCAAGGCACCCAGTCTACAATATAAAAAACGAACAAACAAACACATAAATGTGAAAAATTATGTGATGGTCCCTCAACATCCATATCAGACCTGTATCCTGAATAGGTGTCTGGTATAGATTTTTTTTTACAATACATTTTTATTGAGATTTTTTCCCAGTTTCTTTTAACAAGGTAATCAGGTACAGAAAACATAACAAAAACACAAAGTAAAAGAATACAAAAATAGCAGTCATCATACAGTTGTTGTGAGCAGCATATAATCCAGTAACCAATAGTTTAGTATCGAGTAGATGTATTTAAGGCTCAGCGCAAACCAATCAATGTATCGATCTTGACCAGACGTTCCAGACTTACAATGATATGGGACCTGACATAATCCCGCACTATATGGAGCAAAATCTGGCATTGTTGTGTCAGACCATCGGACCCACGGGAGCCACTTCTCCTCAAATTTTGGTAGTGTCCCTTCTTTATATGCTATAAGTTTTTTGTGGTGATAGTGGAGCTTCACTATGGATAGGGTTTCGCTAATTGAGTGGGGGATTGCACATTTCCATTTCCTGACAATAGTAATCCTGGCTGCCAGTAGGATATGTATCGTTAAGCATCTACATTTTGCTGGGATGTGTTCAATCTCCAAGGAGAGGACCGCCAGGGCAGGTGATGGGTCTATCAGTATTCCTGTGATGTCAGCTATTATCTGGAAAGTCGCCCTCCAAAAGTTCGCCAGGTGTCTGCACTCCCATAGAATGTGGTGTAGGGTGCCTTCTAGCCCGCAGTCCTTCTAGCCCGCAGTCCAGCACATTGGGGAAGTTGATGCAAACATCCTGGCCAACCTGTGTGGTGTATAGTACCATTGCAGGGCTATTTTGTAGTGTAGATCCCATAGTTCCACACATTTAGTGGTCTTGAGCGTGCAAGAAAGGGCCTGCAACCACTGACTCGCGGAGAAGGCACTCTTGAGGTCCCTTTCCCATTTCTCAAAAGGTTTAACCTTGACAAATGAAATGTTATTATATAGTAGAGAGTAGAATAGTGATATCCCCCCCTTCTTAGGTGAGTTCTTGAAATAGAATCTCCAGGCTGGGTAAGGTATTTTGCAAAGTACATGGGGATTAGAGTGTAGCACCTATTTAATTTGGAGATATTGGAGGAAACAACTAGAGGGGAGGCCATAGCTGAGAGACAGGGCCGAGAAAGGCCGTATTTTACCATCAAGGAGCAAATCTTGAATGTGGCGTATCCCTCTAGATGTCCAATCCCGTAGAGATAAAGAGGGAAGTAAAGCTCTAAGTGCTTCCAATGGGCAGAGTAGAGTGTGCAGTGAGTCGGATGAATGGCGAGGAAGGAGTAGAATCCTACACGCCATGCTCGAGGCCTGGATACGGGGAGCGAGTGTCTTCAGTACCGTCTCAGGGAGCAGATGGGCTATATACATGAGGTGTGAAGTAGCTCCAGGGGTCAGTGCCTTCTCTACATTTTGCCAGTGGGTAGGGCTTTGAGAGTGGAACCATGGTCTCATTAGGATGGTGAGAATGGTCAGGAAGCCGAGGATGGTCAGGATAGTCAGAATGGAGATGATGGTGAGGATGGTCAGTATGGTCATGATGGGGAAGAGGTGAGAATGGTCAGGATGGCGGGGAGGTGAGGATGGTGAGAATGGTCAGGATGGCGGGGAGGTGAGGATGGTGAGAATGGTAAGGATAGTGAGGAGATGAGGATGGACAGGATGGTTAGAATGGTCAGGATGGTGAGAAGATCAGGATGATCTCTCAGGTGGGCTATGCACAGTCTCTGGTATGTGTGGGGTCTCAAGTGGACTCTGCAGGGTCTCAGGGGGGCTCTGCAGGGTCTTTGGTGGGATTGTGGGGGGTCTATGGTGGGCTCTGCAGTAGTGAGCATCTGAGTTATCTGTTCTTCAGAGCCAGCAAAAGAACGTGTTCTGAAGGTAGGTCAGAACATGGGCCCTGTGATTTCTAGTTACGCCCCTGGTCTCAACTGATCTAGCAAAACTGCCATGTAATAATCTTTTAAGTCGGGATAGCTCATGCCCCCTACCTTCCTATGTCTGGTCAGGACACTCCTGGAACACCATGGCTTCTTTCCCTGCCATAGAAAAAGATTGAGGACCCTATGTAGTCCCTTAAAGTAGTGATCTGGGATAGGGAGGATCAAGCGAGGTAAAACCATCATCTTAAAGACTGCCAGTCTGGCAGACGAGGACAGGAAGGTTTTATCCATGGATTTGAGCATACCTGGCAGAGTCCCCAGGAAGGGCTGCTAATTGCTCTCAAACAGGGAAGAAAACTTTCTGCTCATTACAGTGGCTAAGTATGTTATGCCATCCTCTTTCCACACGTAAGGAAAAGAGGACTGCATCTCCCTCCTAGTCTTAAAGTGTACCCCCAGATCAAGGATATGTGACTTGGATGCATTTACTTTGTAATATGATATTTTGCTAAATTTGCCAAGCAAAGTAGATACCGCTGTCAGTTATTTGGTAGGATCTGTGAGTAACAAAAGAAGAACATCATCTGCAAATAAACTAATAACATGGGATTCACCATTCAGAGTTACACCAGAGATGTCAGGATGTGATCTAACCATCTTAGCTAAAGGTTCTATTAAGAGATCAAAAATGAGGGGGGATAAAGGGCAACCCTGTCTCGTGCCATTTGAAATAGGAAATGGAACGGACAGGGCTCCAGAGGTATAGACCTGGGCAGTCAGGGTAGAGTACAATGCTAGGACAGCCAACAAAATCCGATGATTCGGTCAAACGCCTTCTCTGCGTCCAAAGTGAGGAGTGGAGAAGGCGTTTTAGAACATTCTATGTAGTGTAGTAGATTGATGACTCTACGAGTAGCATCTGGGGCCCCACAATTCTTAATGAAGCCTGATTTATCCGGATGGATTAGAGATGGGAGCACTTCCATCATGCGGAGTGCCAGAATTTTTGCATAGAGCTTAACATACACATTTAGGAGAGAAATAGGGCGAAAGTTTTGAGGTACATTCGCATCTTTGCCCGGTTTTGGTAGGGTGACTATCAGAACTTTCAACATTTCTGGTGGGAAAGAAGCAGAGGTTGAGGCCTGCTCAAACACCCGTAGCAAAAGGGGGCTGAGGATATTGCCAAATTGCTTGTAGTATTCTCCAGAGAAACCATCAGGGCAGGGGGATTTATTTAAGGGTAAAGATTTGATGGCATTGAGAATCTCCTCAGTCGTGAAGGGAGCATTGAGTGCTAGGCTTTGGGAGGGTGACATGCTTGGAAATGCAAGAGATTGGAGGAACAGATCTATATCTGCTTTACTGGGGTGGGGGATAGAAGCATCCTCCCTGAGGTTGTATAATTGGCTATAGTAAGCACTAAACGAGTCAACTATATGTTGTGGGTGTCTCAGTTTGTGTCCACCGGTAGGGGTAAGTAAGAACGGGATGCGAGTCTTTGATTGTTGCTCTTTCACTCGTCGGGCTAGTAGTTTGCCTACTGCTCTAGCTCTACTGCCCTGTTAGTAAAAGGATGCTTTCATATGCCTGAAGGCCCTATCAAATTGATCCAGTAGATGGATCCTAAGATCTTCCCTCAGCTTGCGCAACAGGACGGCATAACGAGGGGCTTCTTGTGTACAGCACCAAGTTTCATCAACAAACCCCTAATGTATGCCTTATGGGCATTCCACACACAGAAAGGCTCTTCTACAGAATTCACATTGATACTAAAGTATTCGGATAGATGTTCCCTAAGGAGTTCAGCCGTCTGAGGAGTTCGGCCAGTGCCATGGATATGGGGGCGTGGTTAGACCAGGATATCTGATGGTTGTCAGAGGCCGACACTCCCTGGAGAATATCTCTTTCAACCAAAAACAGATCAATTCGGGAATATGAATTATGAGGTGGGGAATAGAAGGTATAGTCTCTCCTGGATGCATGTAGACAGCGCCATACGTCATAGAATCCCTCTTGGTAGAGGAGGTGGCTAAAAGAAGGGTATCTATGCTGGTTCGTGAAGTCGATGGAGGAATCAGGGGTAACATTGAAATCACCACAGATAATGACATTGCCCTGGCGGACCCGAGAGAGAGTTTTAAAAATTTGATTAAGGAAACGGATTTGGTGGGAGTTGGGAGCATAGATATTTGCAATAGTATATATCTTTCGGTCAATGGAACACACTAGAACTAC